TGGTCGGAAAGTGGCGAGATACCAGTTGGACATCATCATCTACGAGGATGGACTGTGAAGCGTTTATGCTCACCGCGTAGCACATGCCATTCGTCATCCATGTTTTAGAGTATTCGGTGTAATTTGTCTTCCACAAAGGTGCGCACACCTTTACATGTACATATATAAATATACACATTCTCTTATAGTGTGAATAAACCATTAATCGAAAAAAAAAGAAAAAAATGTAAAACTACTTCAAAAAATATTCGAAATAAATGAAAACATTGTATATGAACATCAGTTCATTAATTTATTTTAAAATTAATAAATTACTAAAACTTTAATCAATATACGTTAATGTATAGAAATTCTGTTACTAAAAAACATTTTTCTAAAATTAAAAAAAAAACTTATTTAATCAAGCACGTAATAAATCATATTGTTACGTGGAAAAGAGATTGGTAAGGAGGTGCGTCGCGAGAATGAACAACACTTATTAAAAACCAATTATTTAACAAATAGTAAATGCATATTTCAATAAAGAAACAACTTTGGACTACAGTATAAGAAAAGTAGAAGGTATCTTCCCTTAACAAATAGCTCATGGTTAAACGGACATTGTATCCGGCCGATGCATATTATGCAAGAGGTCGTTCGTTCTCAAGCCTCGTGGAAAATGTTTTTTTTTTTTTTAGGAAATGAATTTAAGAAATGAAAATTGAAAATTTACTTCACTCGTGTCACTCTTTTCTCAGTCCCGGGACCAGAAGTGAGAGTAAAAATTTACTTCCATCACATATTTTTCCAAAGAGAAAATTCCAAAATCGTTGATTTACTCCAGTGCGTAAGGTGCCTATAGAAGTTTAGTTTCAAAAAATTTCTTAGAAACAAGAAAATATTACAATAATACTTACTTCCAAGCAAACAATCTCTTGAAATGAGACATTTTTTTCACTGTACAAAAAAAAATTCTTAAAGAAATACTCTTGATGTGACAAAATATTGCTTTGTTTCAAGAGAATCTTCACTTGGAACTACTCTAGAAAGTATTTTCTGAAATCTAAGAATTTTTTTCAGTGTGGTAATTTGCTTATAAGTGAAAATTCTTCTCAAATCACGTGGATGCATCTTCACTTCATGCATGTGACTTTTTCTTTAACTACGAGAGAATTTTCACTCTAACATGCGAGTGACCGAATATTCACTTAATACGAACAAAAATTCAATTACAACATTATAGAATTATAAAGCGATGAGTTATTATAGTTTCTAAATAAAGAGATTGTGCATACCGCGACTCTGGGACTCGTAGAGTTCTCCACGACCACTGTAGCCCCGATCCAGGCACTGTTCCTATTTTGTTGAATACCACTTTGATAATTAATTGTGTTATTCGGAGATGCGTCGAGGAGCCACTCGGTGCAATTATCGTTCGACAAGTCGCAGTAATAAACAGCCCCTGGCTCGTAGACCTTCTGCTCCTTGTCGCCCCGACGCGAGGAGTTGGCCCGTGGTGCCCCCACCAGCAGCAGCGAAACGTTTTGGTGGACGTAGAGCGCCACCGAGTAACCAAAGTAACTGGACCGTCTCGATGACGCGACATTTGGGTCCGAAAATATTTTGGCTCGTGATACGTCCAGGTTGTAGGTACTCACCGCAGCTACGAGTGCCAATAGAGTGCAAGTCCTATAGTAGCAGTGGATCATACGCAACTTGCTGTTGCCGCGAGAGTCAGATGACATTCTCGAATCTTTATGATCTTGATGAGCTGAAAATGAAAAGTTTAATTTATTATTATCGGTGCTGGTTGGAATATATAAAGTTGTACCTACGTATGAGTTATTAACATGAATAATTGCAATTAACATTATTCACATTATGACATTATCGAAATATTGAAATTTAGGGTGTAATTATTATTCGTATCCATAAAATGAATTATACAAACGATAATTTTTATGAAATAGAAAATGTGGTATGGGTTGGAAATTGTTAAACACCCTCATATTATATATTGTTCGGGCGAAGTGATGAATTTCGGGTACAATATTAAAACTCGGACAAAATTAAAACATTTAGTTGAAATACATACCAGCAATTTGTATTTAATTGTTTAAATCGCAATAAAAAAAGAAACAAATAATTATTCTATCATCGTTTGAAAAAGTCATTTTTAAAAACTGACCTATTATAAGGCATAATTTATGATTTAATTATTATATGCATGAATATAAATAGCTATAAATGTCTTGGGGTACTATTCACTTACTTATAGTTTTCATGATTTTTAATCAGCTGGAATAGCATAACCTTCCGTGGAGTACGTTTTTTCTGGCCTTCCTGGCGTTCCACCAGAAATCTTTTTAAATTATTAAACTCTATCACTGCACGTATTTGAAAATCCTTCGGGTCAATGTTGATAAAATGGTTTTGTATATTTGATGTTACAAAATGTTAAATGTTGCACACACTGACACTATTATTGTTGTTATACGACGAGCCAGTAGTCCATGCCACAATTTATATAAAATATCAAATAAATTACCAGTAACGTTTTATCAAAATTATTCAGCAGTTACTTCATAGCACTGGTGCTACATGAACTGTGGAGGGTTTCACGCGTAGTCTTTTGTTAAGATTCAACAAAGAAGTTTCGCAAGCAACTGAAGTATGATCTACTCATTCTGTTTTAAGTAGTAAACGAATAGAACATTATGAATATTCGAAAGTTTCAAAGTTGTGCTTTCCTAGAACTAATGAGGTGTATAGAAGTCGAAGAATAACTCAAAAGAATTACACACGTATCGAAGTTAGTCACGATGTTTTTCTTTTGATTGCCAAATGCTTAGAATAATGAAAATAGTATGATAAAATTTATAGATTATACCAAAGTTGAATAATCTATAGACAAAATTTAACCATAGATTTCTCTAATACATTGTTACTTTAAAATTTCTTGCGGTAAAAGTATTGATGTTTGTATCCTCAATTTGTTCTCGGGCGTTGTCAATGCTGGGTTCAGTCGGTAATTGGCTCTTCTTAGCTCAGCCTGTTTTGCCGAATGCAAAATAAAGCTTATGCAATTGATAAAAAGATACGAATTTGGAAAGCTCTAAAATAACAAATATTGGTGGACAACATGGATCGGTATCTTGAAAATATGATACCTCGGGGTTTTAATGGTATGTCTTTATGTTCTGAGAAATTACCACTGTCTTATCACGATTTTACTATGAAGTTTCAAAATACGTTGTCTCGTGATGACGTCATTTGCTTTTCTCACCATGTACTCATAGTTTTCCTACAGGTATGAGTATGCCAACGGTGTTGACTCATAATTTTACAAGTGCAACTTATATTTGAGAGAAAAAGAAAGGGTAAAAAGAAGAAAACAACTACAGTTTGTATTGTACTGCTATGAATAATGGATAGAATGAATATCGAGATTCAGACTCGGGGAAAAAGCGAAATTTCGAAAAAAGAGTGAGATGAACTTTTACAAAGTGCAAATGGTTATTTAACGCAAAACTCTAAATATTCTGGCAAAAGAATTACTTATAAGTTGAATGAAAAAATGTGGATAAAGTCGAAAAATAACAAAATGGTGAAATTTGAAAGAGTAAAAGTGAGAAAAACAACAG